AAAGTGAGTCACATGAATTTTTTGGTTTCCCAGTGCATATAAAATTTATGTTTATACTATACTGTAGTCTATTGAGTGTGCAATAGCATTGTCTTAGAAAAATAATGTACATACCTTAATTAAAAATACTTTATTGCTGAAAAATGCTAACAATATCTGAGCCCTCAGCAAATCATAATCTTTTTGCTGGTGGAGGGTCTTACCTCAGTGTTGATGGCTGCTGACTGATCAGGTTGGTGGTTTTTGAAGGCTGGGATGGCGGTAGCAATGTCTTCAAATAAGACAACAATGAGGTTTGCCATGTTGATTGACTCTTCCTTTCACAAAAGATTTCTCTGTAGCATGCAATGCTGTTTGATAGCATTTTGCCCACATTAGAACTTTTAAAATTGCAATCAATCCTCTCAAACCCTGCCATTGCTTTATCAACTAAGTTTATGTAATACTATAAATCCTTTGTTGTCATTTCAGCAATGTTCATAGCATCTTCACCAGGAGTAGATACCATTTCAAAAAAACACTTTCTTTGCTCATCCATAAGAAGCAACTCCTCATCTGTTAAAGTTTTATCATGAGATTGCAGTAATTCAATCACAGTTTCAGGCTCCACTTCTAATTCTAGTTCTCTTGCTGTTTCCACCACACCTGCAGTTACTTCCTCCAATGAAGTCTTAAATCCCTCAAAGTAATCTATGAGGGTTGGAATCAACTTTCAAACTCCTGTTAATGTTGATACTTTGACCTCCCATAAATCATGAATGTTCTAATGGCATCTGGAATGGTGAATCCTTTCCAGAAGGTTTTCAATTTACTTTGCCCAGGTCCATCACAGGCTATAGCCCTATGAAATGTATTTCTTAAATAATAAGACTTGAAAGTCAAAATGACTCCTTGTTCCATGGGCTATAGAATGGATGTTGTGTTAATAGGCATTAAATAAACATTAATTGTATACATCTCCATCAGAGCTCTTGGCTGACTACATGCATTGTTAATGAGTAGTAATTTTTTTCAAAGGAATCTTTTTTTCTGAGCAGTAGGTCTCAACAATGGGCTTAAAATATTCAGTAAACCATGCTGTAAGTAGCTGTGTTGAGTTGAGCCCCATCAAAACCTCCTGCAACAAAACCTCACAGAAGTAGCCCCCTTTGAATAAAGTCTACTTCTCCATTTTTTAAAAGTGTCAAGAATAATTTATTTCCTTAACAGCTCCAGGTTATTTCAGCTAATA